ACAATGCTGTAAATGTACTAAGAGACATGGAATTGTACACTGTACATGAGTGAATTGTGTGATATGTAAATTATACTTCAATAATGGTGTTAACAAATATATAGCCATTCTATATTGAGTGCTCACTATGTACCAGCCTCTCCACTGGGGAAAGAAGACAGAGATGAAAAAGTGTTGAAGGGAAGAGAGACAAGGGAAGGATTGATCTCTGGGCCTCTACTTCTTGTGAGTACGGTTGAGGAGCTCTGGATATGCATTTTTTTTAGTGATGACATCTCCAAAGGGGAATAAATACTTTGTATCTTATGCTTTATGTCTGAGGCTCACCTGGCTTATTTTCATGTTTTTTTAAATCTCCTTTTTATCTATGAATACTCTACATCTTATACAGAAAATGCTTTTATTTTAAATCGGCATATTCTTAAAACATCTTGATGACAGCTAGACTCTGTTTTTTGTCCTTATTTCCTGCTACTCCTTTTCCCAAGCCTCAGTATTTCCTCTGGCTCCCCTGCCACTGATTCCTTGTATGGACTTGTCGACACTTCAGATTATCTCCAGCTCCACTGCTCCCATATATTGCTTAGCCAATGTATACACACTTAGTTCTCTTAATCTCCCCCGTAAGTAAATTCCTCAGCCCCTTAATCACCCCCGCTCCTCTTCTCTGAATCCTTTCCAATGTGTTGACATCTTTCTGGCACAATGGCGCCCACAGCCATATGCCTTTGGCACCCGTTCCCCTTGGCCTCCCACCAGAAATGGAACTTGGCCGACGTCAGAACACAGAGTAAGACATATTTATTTGATTTAGCTTCTGATTATGTTCACTTCTTGGGATGATGGTTGATTACCAGTGATCGGGTTGGCCAAGCGTTGGGATTCAGGGCACATTGGTGGTGGGTGGGGTTTACGTGTGAAGAGCAATAGTATGTACGTTGTGTTCCTCCCATGAGTGGACTCTTTCTAAAACAGATGAAATCAGAAGCGTTGGGAAATGGTAGCATTTTAGTTTAGCATCCCAAAGATTGTTTGTTTTTATTTCTATAGCCTGAATTTCAAGTTTCTATTTAACTTTCCCCAGTTTTAGAATTTTTGAGTTAGACAACCTTAAGATTTCCATAGGGAGAAGAAGCCTGTCACAGCAGAGTCATTGGGGAGGCTTTGAACATGTCAACTTTAACCACCGTTTCTAGGTTATAAATGCCTCACTCTATGCAATAGAAGTTGTGAGGCACTAAAAGGTGGGAAAAATCAATTTACTTGTATTTAAAAACCACATTCTGGATCCCCACCTCAATATTGATTATATGGTCTTCACTTTAGGGGAATCTTTTTATTTTTTGGACTTTCACAATGCCTATAAAAGTTTATGGAGTCAGAGTTACATTTTTGTACCTAGTAATATGATTTCTGTAATTATAAATTAAGTAATATTCTAAAGTTCTTTGAGAAAGAAAATATGATTGTAAACAAGGTATGTGATGAGTAACTATAATCTATTTAGAATTTAAGAAGTCTCTAATATTCAACCAATAATCATTGAGGGCCTACAATATCCCTGGCACTGTGTTAGACACTGAGGCCACAATACATAAAACTAATGTTCTGATTATGGAAAAACATATTATAAAAATAGCCACAGATACATTGTTGCAAAGGGAATAACTACAGCAAAATTTTCTGTGTTTTAAGAAGACAAATATGAGTGGTTTTCATCTTACACGCAGGAAAAAGACACATATGTCACTCCCGGTGTCACTGACGGTGGCCAGTGGCATGAGCTGTGATATGAAGAATTGTATATTACCTAGACCAGTATGGAGTACATATCTTCTTTGTGTAATATGGCACAGTTATCACCATTGGCAAGCTAAATCCTGTCTCTAAGAGTGACACTAAGAGAGCATATTGCACTTGCTCAAGTGGGATATATTAATCTTGCCAATGTACAAGGCAGATGTTCAGTCTAGTGTTGGGGAAAGTAAGGAAAAAAGAACTTGCTGTTAGTGACAAACTTGTGTCAAATCCAGCTGGAAGTGATGGAGTGCAGGCAGATGGGCATTCCTATGAGTAGGAGACACGGAAAGATCTTTCAGCGGTCATCAGAATATCTGAAGTTGGAGGCTAAAGCTATAGAAGGAAATACATGAACTAAACAGTGACAGGGAATGCTAACTATTGTCCCTTTCCACTTTAAGAACAGATGATGATAGATATTCAGAAGTCAGCAGCAAGCCAGCAGCAAACTGTGCTCGAGAGTAACCTCATGGGCTATTCAAATATAACTTCAGTATTCTGAGCTCTGTCAAACAGGGCCCTTAGTTAACCTGGAAGTTTCGATTTATTTTCTCTTCCTATGAACCATGTCCTGTGCTCCCAACTTCTGGAGTTTTCTATGAATGCAGAAGACCTCCTGAGCTTCTCTCTGGAGATCTACCTGAAGTTCAATACCACCTGCTTTCCGGGAAGTGGGGGCAGGCTGTCTCATGCCTGTGCTCTCTCCTTAGCTTGCAGCAGTCCGTTTGTCAGACATGAAGGCATGTCTTTATAAAGAATCAGAGTGCTCTCAGAAGAGAATTACAGCATAGCAAGAACAAAGTTGTAAAATCTAGTTGGCTTAGTCTTTCCCTTAGTCCTCCTCAAGGAAGGTATTCCAAGACTTACTCTTTTGGAAAGTGGGTGACTGTTGTGTGCCCCCTTCACTCCTGGTTATACTTCCCTTAATTTATAGATGAGGTTATATGAACCACCCCACCAGTGGGTCCCCCCACCAGGAGAAAGTCCACCTTCCCCCTACCTCCCACCATCATAAAACCTTCACACAAGAGTGCATATTCATCCAGTTTCTGCCGTCAGTCCCAGAACAAAACAGTAAAACATGGTGCTGCAAAGAGGGGCTTATAGCGAAGCTGTGTTCAAGTTGCACTCTACTACTTGTACCCTGAGATCCTCAGTTTCCTTGTCAGTAAAATGGAGATAATACTACTTACCGCATAAGGCTGAATTGAGGCTTAAATGAGCTCATGAATGGCAAGCAGTTAGCACAGAGTATAGAACGTGATTAGCCTGCAACAAATCATAGTTGTTACATTATTCCAAACAGTTCTCTGGCATTCATTGCTCTTTATCAAGATTCTAGAAGAAAAGGGATGATGAATATAAAAATGGCTCCTCAGATTTTAGCTCACAGACAGATGCATGGACCCAATGCTTTTCTTAGAGGATGACCTTTTAAGCAGTCACACCATCTAAACATTATTTTTCTTCTTAGTAACACTTTCCATGCAGTGTTATGTTGGAGAAATGAATTTTCCTATTAGGAGCTCCTGGCTTTCCCCTCTAGGAAGAATGAATGGGGTGCCTTAGTGTCCTGTTTCTCTGCCTGGAGTCTGAATCAATAACACCAACAAACCAAATACTCAACGATGCTTTCAGAACACCACTGCCACATTTACTGGTATTTTTCAGTTTTGCAAGAAGTGGCTCTGGCTCTTACTAACTTATTTTTATCTGGGATCTCTTTGAGATGAAAGAGGTGGCATTTTCCATGTGGCTGGGTTTGCATTTCCTACTCAGCCAGTCCTCAGTTGCTCACTCTCCATCCCACTCTTCCATCCTGGAGTTTTCTAATGGTCTCTACGACATCAGTTTTCCATGGAGGTTCCCACCAAACTGATACCCTGGTTCTACTTCAGGATTATGTCTCTATAAGCTCCTATACCAGGCATTAGCCTCCAGGATTCCTCCTAGGAATGACGTTTAGGCAAAGAGGCATTGGGTCAGCCTAGCCCCCTTTCTAGGAAAGAAGGTAGAGCTGAGCAACTGGTAGACCTCAAGGGAGAACCCTAGGAGGTCTTCCTTATCTATAGAGCCAACATAGATATCTTGGACATACACCAAGGATATAACTCCAGTCTCGTCCTGGATCTGCCCTCCACCCTCCAGCTGAGTCTCTTTCCACCCTCTGAGTGATCCATGATTGGGGTCCAGGGATTAATAAAACAAAACTGAGTAGGGAGCACGGGGGTGGCTAATTGTGGCAAAGCAGACACAGGATAAGCCTAATTGTTGTGTCCACCAGCTGATATTCTTCTTGTTTAAGCATCTAACAAACACCAACTGACAAGAATTCCTAAAATATTCTATGATACTATTATTTCTTACAGAGCCCATCATATCACTCTGAGAGAAAGTGAAAAATATGCATACCTGTATTTTTTAGGGTCAGGTTTGAGTCACCTGATGGATAAAGTCACATTAGAATTCCATTGTTCTTTCATCTCTAACACCATCATAAGACTCCCAGTAATATTAATTGGAAATAGAAAATATCTACAAATTTATAAATTCTCTATATGTGCAGAGTAATTTACAGTTTACAGATTGCTTCCATGCACAATATTTTACTTCAACCACACGAAAATTCCTATGTGGGGGTTTTAATGTCCCCATTTTTCAGGTGAAGACAGTTTTAAATTGATTTTTGTGATTTACCCAAGATCATTCAGAAATGGAGCTGTGAATTCATCCCTTGTCTCTGATTATATATCTACTGCTTACATTAGGTTTTTAGCTAGGCATGTTGAAAATATAATTTTTTTAATTAAGAAGTGGAATCAATTAAAAGTATATTAATGAGATCAGTTTCTGCTTTCTTATATGTCAGTGCCATAGTTTTCTGGTTTTTATTACTTGATTTCTTCTTCATTATTACATACCTATGAGGTTGTTCAGTATTCTCATTAGTATCTCATCTAAGTCCAATGATTTGTGAATATTGAACTTTAAAAAAAATCCCCTTACCTGACTTTAAATCGATAGCATTGCTGTCTCACTTTTTCATTATTTCCCAAGTGTCCATATTCTATCTCTTTATTTTTCTAGTTAAAAACCAATTTGAAAAGCATTTCAGTAACTCTGCCATTATAAAATTCTTTTTGTAATAAAATTAATAATTTAAATTTGTTGGCATCTAATGCTGAAAGTCCTCCGGGTACCTTAATGAAAATAGAAAATGATACAAATACTGCATCATACCCTGATGACGACCCCAGGGCAAGATTGGGCAAATCTGCCAAGTGACTGCGAAAAGAATGATTCTAAATTAAAATTAAAAACAACAATTACATAGGAAAGGCATTAGCTTTACCCTGACGAGTAATGGATGATGGATACAGGGGAAGAGCAAATATTATCTGATACTCTTAAGATTTTATGCTATTAAAATGTTAGCCCTTCACTGGGCCTAAAAAAAATCCAGTTTGGCCCCTTGAAATTTATCACAATGAAACTGACACATAGAGGAGAAATGACATTCCTAAGATCCCATAGCTAATTATAGAGGACCTGATTAGTACCCAAGCCACTTGATATCAAGCCAGCCTATTTCCCACTTCTCTGTGCTGCCCCTCCTCTGTTTCCAGAATACTGTGGACCTACTAGTTTCAGACAGCTAGAAATAGCTGTCCTGAGCAACCAATATACAAAGTAGGAAGAAGGCAAAGTGTGAGAGAATGGGGCTGGGCCAGGGTGATGCAAACCAGGGAAATGAAGTGTTTGCCTCAAGTGCAAACTTTAAGGGGTAGGGAGGGGGAGTAAACCAGCTTATTAATCGAGATAAATAATATTAGAAAACAGTATTTTTTAAAATCAAAATTAATGCAAAACAACCATTTTGCATTGTTTTTTTAATGCCTTAATTTGCACCTGAGGCAAGTGCCTCATTAGCCTTTCTCGATTGACTTGCTTCACACTGGTACCAGTCCTGGACATGATTTCCGTTTTCTTTTATGGCCTGTGGTTAATTCCCTGTTGTTGAGAACAATGATTTACTATTGAAACACTTCAGAGTAAGCCCCTTTTTTCCCTTTGCCAAGATCATAAACTTACCAAAGGTTGAAGTTACTCATTGTGGGCTGGTTTTAAAATATGTCCACTAATTCTTTGCCACTCTTATCTTCCAAAGGTGAAAACAATTATCCCTCTCCTTGAGTGTGGGCTTCACTTATTGGCTAGTTTCTAGTAAATAGGATGTCCAGAAGTGACAATGCATGATTTCTGAGACAAAGCCATGGAAGGTATTCTGGCTTCCTCCTTGCTCTCGCTGGGATCACCTGGCGAAAAGCCAAGTGCCTTGTTATGAGGACATTCAAGGAGCACCACGGAGAGGTTCACATGGTGAGGAACAGAGACCTTCCACCAACAGCCATGTGAATGAGCCGTCGTAGAAGAAAATTCTCCGACCCCAGTCAAGATTTCGATTCATGGCAATCCTGGCAAACATCTTGGCTGCAGCCTCTTGAAAGACCCTGAGCCACACCATCTAACTAAAACACTTCTCAATTCCTCACCCACAAGATCTATAAGGGAATAAATGTTAGTTGCTTTAAGCCATTAAGTTTTTAGATAATTTGTTATGCTGCAATAGATAACAAATTCACTGTTTTACATAACATGACCATGACATTTGTCTGGGGAAGAGGTATACTTATAAGATTCTGAAATTGAAGTATCTAAGCAATGGCATGACTTTGTCTAAGATTTCCCACATATAGGAGTAAAGTTATGGTTTTGGCATAGATGTAGATTTTATTCTAATCCTTGTTTAATTAAATCAATGTTTAGAAATGAAACACAACCATTGAGTAATAGTTAATCTAGTTTTTCACTTAAAAGTAATTGGTTGCATTTAACTACCAACAGGAGCATGAGATCTCTAAGAGTTCACTGGTGGTACTGTTTTGAGTTGATAAAACTTCATTCCCAAACGAGGAGACATGTAATATCAGGAAGAAACCATTCAAACAGACAAAACGTCATATGGTAATTGCACACCATTTCTAGGCTTTTTATAATTGAATTTATCTTCAATGGCTTTACCAATACATATCTGAATCCATAGTCACAGTTTAGAGGCCACTTCTTTAAATCTACCTGAAGAGAGCTCTTTAATTCAGTGAGTCCCAGTTTCAAGGAGAAAAGTATTATCTTGCTTTATTTAATTCTCTCTTCCTAAATTCTTCTAATTCCAGAATACCATTTACTCTACTGAGTGATTAAGGAGAGTTTTTTTTTAAGTACTGGTTTAAGGCTTGGAACATCACTGCGCATCTGGTCACTAACAGGTATACACAGGTTGGTATATATTATCTTCCATCTTTTCTCTCCTCCCTTGACCCATGAGAATAGGTACTGAAACCTAACCACACGCTAAGTTATTAAAAACTATTAATGTTTTATGTCAAATTAACTCATCCTACAAACAAGACTATAAGAATATTGGACTGATAACTCTTGATAAAAGAGAAAGGGAGGTAAATGCCTGGCTGAACTGTTATCACCAGGGCTTGCAGCCTGAGGAATGACTTCAGACGAGGGCAGGCAGAGCTGAAACAGTCTTGGACGGTAGGAAAGCCCTAAGTTTAGAAGGTCAGGAGTGAATTGCTGCATTTTTCTATAAGCATTATTGAAAAAAAAATTCTGGAGTAATTAAGTCCAAGTTACAATTCTGTATCTTCTTCCCTGAGCGACTTTCCTCTTAATATTCTTATTCACTTAAAATCGGTGTTATAGTATTCTTTTTTATTACTTTGGAGGAAAATTAATATACCTATATTCATTCCTGTTAATTGGTTTTAGCTTGTTTATTTTGAATTGTGTGCTTAATTATATAAATAACAATAGTTAAATTGCCCTGATGAATCATACAATTTTTTTCTTTTCAGATATTTTTCCTAAAGATTTCACATCTGTTATATGATAAACAGGTCACACTTTCTTTTAAATTTAATTATAATTTACATACAGTGAAATACAGCAGTTTTCATTGTAGAATTAGATATGACAAATCTTATACATTAAATAAACCTATGTAACCAATACCCCTATGAAGATGGAGAACATTTCCATAATGCTAGAAAAATTCCCATATCACAACCACACTCTGAGACAGCTATTATTCTGATTTTTATCAACATCGCTTAGGTGTACCTACTCTATAATTTCATATAAAGGACACGTATAGTATGCAAGTTTTTAAAATCTTATTTTGCTCCTCATGTTTTTGAGATTCATCTATATAACTGCATATATCAGTAGTTCATTCTCTTTATAGACAGGAGTATATTCATTAAATGAATATACCACTGTTTATATATACATTCTTCTCTTTTTTTATTTAAATTTTTATTTTTTAGAGACAGGGTCTGCTCTGTCACTCAGGCTAGAGTACAGTGGCATAAGCCTAGGAAACTGTTGTTTTTTAGAGTTTAAATTAGTATTTTAAAAAAGGGGTACCAGTGTTTTGAGGAAAGTAAACAGAAAGAGAACATACAGTTGTAACTTTTGAGGGACTAGTCAATTTGTTGGGGAAATTATTATAATTTTTTTTTTGTAATTTGAAACAACTGGAGACAAAAAATAGAACACAATATAAAATTATCAGCAAATTGCTCTCTGTAAAGGAGATTGTAAAGAAAACATTTGACCTAAGTGGTTTAAGTCGCCAAATAAGTCAATATATGATATTGTCTCTTGAAAACTTATGCAGAATGTCCATAAGTAAAATTTGCTATTGGCTCAATTAGTCACATATTTTTAAATATATTTCACAGTTATGAAAAATTTGCAGAGTTAAAGGAAGAGAGGTGACAGAGATTTGAAGAATATAGAACTGTAAACCTTCATGCTCACTATGAAAGTTCCAAGCAGCAAGTTAATCAGTCATTCAAATCCTCTGGCCATGTGCGTTATATATTTTATTTATATATTCAGGAAATTAAGTAAAATGCATTCATTGTCTTCCTGCTCTGTTTTTTATGGAATACACAAGGTTTTCACAAGACAAGGATATAGTCTTGCTTTTGTTTTCATAGTGTCAATAGACATTTGATACCTGTTACTGCTTCTGTGTTTTGAGTTACAAAATCTTGCCTACTTTCATGTTTAGATCATTGTGATGATGTTATACAAGGGAACATGATACTTGGAAAATGCTTTTTTATTGAAGAAAACTCACATTCTTGAAAATATAAATTATCTGACTCTAGATAGCTTTCTCTCTGTTTTTATTTTAAAAAATGCAGACTTTTAAAAAAAGTTTATATGGAAAATTATATGAACACTTTAATTATTGAGTGTTGAAAGGTAAAAGTTAAAGGATTACATTTATTTTTTTATTTGCAGTTGTAATATTAGACACTGACTAATGTATTAAAACAAGACAAAAGGGAAACTAAAAATAAATATAGAAATTGACAGAGACTTGGCAGCCACAGGAGTTTGCCAGAGATGGTCATTCATAAGCTGTGTTGATCTAGTAGAAGAAATGAGTAAAACCAAGAAATAATGGAAATGATGGGTATTAAAGTAGATAAAGCTAATTGGGTCACTCTTTGGGTTTAGCAAAAGGTATCAAGAAAAGGGGCAGAGAAAAATTATATTCATCCCCTAAGTATTAATAGGTATATCAGAAACATGTGGTATTAAGGTGGCCTACTAATAAAGTAAGGTAAAGTTTGAGGCAGGCCTGGGAGGGGATGACTTGGGGACTGTGCCCCTTCAACTTGATTTCTAGAGGCCATGGGAACACACCAAAGGCAGGCCTATCACAACTCCCAAAGTGATGGTTGTCTGAAATTTGGAAATTAAAATGAAATGGAAGGTAAGAAGAGGAAGATGCAAGAACGATTACTATTATATAAGCATTGTATCCTAAGTGTAAGGAAAGACAGACCAAAGAGGCCTTTTGTTGTGAGAGAGACAGAAAGGTGAAAGTTTAAAACATAGAAATTTAACTAGCAAGCTTATTTATAGTGCTGTATATTCAAAGACAAAACAATTTTGAGAAAGCAGCATTATATTTTATAGATGTCATTTCGGAAGTGTCTACAAACTGTGAAAGCAAAATAAACGGAAGTGCATATTGGGAGAAAGAAATTTAACTAGGAATAGCGTGGTATAGAGTTAATTCCAAGTGTATGTCCTCTCAAAGGGAAGTTCGTGGCCTGGATTCAGAAAAATAAATGAAGGTAATAACACGACTGAGCCAATACTGAAATGTATATTATCCTTGGACTATTCTCCCACCTACACCAAACAAGTCTCCTTTCTATGAAGCCAAATATTATTACATCTAATCAAGAAAATTAATGCTACCACTAAAGAGAAAAAAAATATAGCATGGGATCTCTAAGTGCACAATGAGTATTGATGAGTAACCTGGGAAATCCCAATATTTTCAAGTCCAGTACTCCTTGGAATGGCACAAGACTGGCAAAGAATGAGCAACGCAGAGAGAGGTGGCTTGCTGCTTTAGATCATGCCCCGGTCCTTGCCAACAGCCTCCATCTTGCTCACAAGTGAAATTATACCAGGCAAGCAACGTTCTCCATTAATTCATATTCAGAACATAAACCTACAGAAATTGTTTCTATTAGAGAAAAACGGTTTAACTAACCCTTATCAGAGAACACACAGAAACTACATATCCAAGACATTAAAAAGTCTTATTTGTTCATGGTAAGATGAGAAAGAGAGAAGAAATTTTCAGTAGAGACAAATCTTTTCAAGTAACAGAGTCAGGCTAGGTAGTGAGGGTGCTAGACAGGGAGAGGATTACCTGAAGGCCCTGTGAGTTATAAGAGTAGCAGTTGCTGTCACTATGTCACCGGGAGCTTCATCTGAGCCTCCCAACTGAGATTTAGAATCTTCCATTCTGCAGGTAGGTGGACCCATTCACGTAGGCTTCTGTTTGCATTACAAATACACATAAAGAATTTTGTTTGTTGGCTGACTAAGGGCAGTGAAGAAGTGGTATTGAAGGGAAGGCATAATATCTGGCCATATATCTGGCCATTGCCCAGCATTTGGACTTGGAGAAAGTGACCTGATATGGAGAGAAATGGTGGTACAAGGTGCTGAAACTCCTTTATAGTTTCTCAGCTTTCAGATGCCCTGGGAGAGTCCAAGGCTGGGAGCAGCAGTAGCAATACCAGGCAAGCAGAACTCTAGCAAGAACACATCAATGTTTAGTAACCAAGGCCGATCTTGGGAATCTGCCACCCCCAGAGGGAGAGGGCCAATTTTGGAACATACTTAAGATTCCCTTGAATTCTTACGAAATACTTGGGAAGTGGAAAAGAGAGAACTGTTGAGGTTCCACAGTTATATAATGGGGATATGTGAGG